GCTTTCCCATCACGGAGTCATTGCTTTCTCTCCACTGTCCAGGCCTATTTGAACTAAGTTTTCATTTGGGCTTCCCTGGTGGCTCAGATGGTAAAGAATCCCTCTGTAATGCAGAACACGCATACAGGAGACCTGGGTTCCATACCTGGGTCGGGAAGATGCCCCGGAGAAGGGAATGGCTACCCACTCCAGTATTCCTGCCTGGAGAATCCCATGGACAGAGGAGCCTGGTGGGTTAGAGTCTGTGGGGTCACAAAGAATCAGACACGACTGAGCGACTGACACTCAACTGTTAACAAGCAAAAAAACTACCCACACGAAAGTGGCTTGTCTCCCTCCAAGATGTAATTCCCATGAGGGCATGGAGCATGTTGGTCTAGTTCAAATATTCGTGCAGGCAGCTCTTATATGTAACATTGTTACTGCCCAAGTTTAAGAATCTAGAGATGAGATTTCACCAAAAGATTCAGATTTTTACTGGAAGCCTTGGCCTCATCATGCTAAGATCCCTGCATAGCCACTGGGACAGATCTGAGAACCAGCGGACCCCTTTAAAGGGCAGTTCTGAAGATGAAACTGACACCGAGAGGAGAATGACCTTCAGGAAAAAAAGTTCTTAGACTGTGTACTTGGCTCATTCACATTACGTGCCTGCCCCCTAGAGGCAAGTGTGTTTGTGATCCCTTTAGACACGCAATGGGCCCACTGCCAGGAATAAATGAATGAATGGAAGGATGGATAAATGAATGAATAAATGAATGAATGTATACCTGCTCTCTATTTATTTTTTTTTTAATCCCACCATGTGGCAAGTGGGATTTTATTTCCCCGACCAGGGGTCAAATCCAAGACCCCTGCATTGGAAGTGCAGATCCACTGCATCACCAGGGAAGTCCCTCCCCCAATCCCTGACATAGTAGCTAGCATGTTGTTGTTGTTGTGCAGTTGATAAGTCGTGTCCAGCTCTTTGTGACCCCATAGACTGGACTGCTAAGCTTCCCTGTCCTTCACTATCTCCCAGAGTCTGCTCAGATGCATGTCCATTAAATCAGCGATGTCATCCAACCATCTCATCTTCTGTCACCCTCTTCTCTGGCTGCCCTCCATCTTTCCCAGCATCTGGGTCTTTTTCAATGAGTTGGCTTTCTTCGAATCAACTGACCAAGTATTGGAGCTTCAGCTTCAGCATCAGCCCTTCCAATGAATATTCAAGGTTGATTTCCTTTAGGATTGACTGGTTTGATCTCCTTGCTGTCCAAGGGACTCTCAAGACTCTTCTCCAGCACCAGAGTTCGAAAGCATCAATTCTTCGGCACTCAGCCTTCATTATGGTCCAACTCTCACATTTTTACATGACTACTGGAAATACCATAGCTTTGACTATGTGGACCTTTGTGATGGTTTGGCAAAATGATGTCTCTGCTTTTTATTACACTATCTAGGTTTGTCATAGCACATAATATATGTCAAATATTTTGATTTGATTTTTTCCTAAAGAAACGCGAGTTTGATTAGATTTATTTTTATATTGTGTGTATCTTAGGTTTAAACAAATATTCACACATTCATTACTCGTGTGCAGTTTATTGTTCTGCCTTATCTGGGCATGTTGACTTCACAATGCTCAAAATCAGGTTTTGTTTCAAAACCCACCATACACTTTCAGTCCAGTAGAGGGCGACAGCAACTACGAATAGGAGAAACACAGTTAAAGGTGGAATAATATAGTCAAGGCACCCAGACAGGGTCCCTGAACTCTGGAATCAAATTCAGGCTAGAAACCACTTTGTTGTTGTTGTTTAACATTCTTAATAGATAGTGCATTCATATGTTCAAAAACTGAACAGAAGAGACAAAATGGTATATGGTAAAATCTCTCTCCTTCTCCTCTTCCCTTTGTACCTGGCTTCCTTCCTCATCTCCATCTCAGGAACAACTCTTTATTTTTCTCTCGTGTGCTCTTCCAGAGGTGTTTATGTGCATATGAATGAACACAAATATCTCTGCACACCCTCCCCCAACTTTACCCAAAAGGTACACAAGCTTTACCCAAAAGGCACAAGAAGGTGTTTTGAGCATACTGTTCTGTGCTTTGCTTCGTTCCATCATGATGTAGATTGTAGATCTATCAGTAACAGTGCATAGAGAGAAGCCCCCTACTCTCTTTGTTTTTCCAGCTTCAGATTTCTCCATGGCACACCTGTATCATTATCTCTTCATCCAGCCCCCCATCAATGGGGGGCTTCTGCTGCTAGCAATAAAACTCAATGATTCAGTTCAGTTCAGTTGCTCAGTCGTGTCTGACCCCATGGACTGCAGCACTCCAGGCTTCCTTGTCCATCACCAACTCCCTGGAGCTTGCTCAAACTCGTCCATCGAGTCAGTGATTACTTGAATGATGATTACTCAATGGTTACTTGAATGTGTCTATAGCAGCGGCCGTCAGCCCCAGTTGCACATGAAAATGATGAGAGGGGATTTAAAATATCCCACCCCTTAAGTCACACCTCAGATCAACTACATCAGAATCTCTGAGTGTGGGACCAAGGCACACAGGGCACCCTATGTCCTGTTGATGTTTCTAGGGGAAACTGGCCAAGAGCACATAGATTTGCAACTTTGCTAGATATTGACAAGTGGCTTCCATGCTTGGTTGTGCCAACTTACACTCCCACCAGCTTGTATGAGATGGCCTGGGTCTTCATGGCTTCACTAACAAAGCATGCTTGTCAAATTTTGCTTTTTGCTAAACTGTTAGTTTTTTTTTTTCTTTAAAGTTATCTCAGTTTTGCTTCAATTTGCATTTCTCTTATAAGGGCTTGATAGTAAGCATCTTCTCATTGCCTAAGAGCCTCCTGATCTGTCTGGTCATATCCTGTGCTCACTTTTCTTTTCTCTCCCTTCTTTCTGGCTGTTCCACAGGGCTTGTAAGATCCTAGTTCCCCAAACCCAACCCTCCTCACCCCTCCAGGACTGGAAGCATGGAGTCCTAACCACTGGACTCCCAGGGAATTCCCTCCTTTCTCTTTTCTAAGTTGGTTTCTCTATATGTCAGTGAGATAAATTCTTCCTGATTTGAGTTGCAAATACTACTGCCTTGTTTTCTTTTCTTTTTTTTTCTGCCTCGAAGAAGACTTTTTACATATCTGAATGTATCTATCTTTTGTTATGGCTTTTGGATTTTGAGTCATGTTTAGTTTGGTTTCCCATTCCAGTCTTATAAAGGAAGTTTCCCATGCGTTCTTCTGGCACTCTTGTGGTTTCCTTTACTTACAGGCAAATCTTCCATCCTTTTGGAATTTACCTTGATCTGCGATGTGAGGTATGGATCCATCTTTGGTTCGCTTTCTAATGGCTAATTATCACATTACCTTCATCAGGGAGTAAGATAGGAGGTGCTTTGAGCTGTATCCAACTTGAATTTCTTTGTTTTTGCCTTTTAATTTATAGCAATACCAGCTCCTACTTTTCCCATTCACCCTCCCCTATTTGCCTGTTCAATGCTTGATTGATTTTTGTTTGTTTACCATTGAGAATTTTCTTACTAATCAAACATTGTCCCTGAGCTTTGGGGTTTCTATTTACGATTTATTTTAGTTGATAACCAACAACTATGACCTTTTGTTGAATGTCTAACATTTGTTTACAAGTTTCATTAAATCATAAAGCAAACCTTTGATGTCAGTTGTAGTTGTTTAGTCACTATGTTCGACTCTTACTATTGTTATTCCATTGGAGGAAAGTTATCAGAGAGTTTTTGAGGCTTGTCCAAAAGCCCACAGTTAAAAAGAGGCAACGGTGGATGCAATTCAAGAGCCAAGTCTTGAGGGTCAAGCCTTTTTACTTGCCTCTACCCTATAGCTGGTCTTTGTGGAATGACTGCAGGAGGGAATGAATGAGTGAGTCAGTGAGGGAAGTAAGAAGACAGAATGAGTCATCTCCTGCCCTTAGTGGAACACAAACGGGGAGATAAGATGTGAATGGAAATAACCAGAGCGCAGAGTAAACAGTGATCCCACCCGTGTTTCAGAAGCAGTCCACTTTCTATCCCCTCCTACTTAACAATCTTACTTCTTTCCAATTTCTCCCTACCTAGAAACCACGGGGCCCAACACTGGGGCAGGGCAGTTTGATGCAGTAAGTCACCCACGTGGAGGTTCCCTGTGGAGCTCTGGAGCCCTGGTGGGGAGGAGGGAGGTAGAGGAAGGGGTAGGGAGGAGGGGGATGCAAAGTGAGAGAGAGAGGAGAGGAGGAGAGCTTAAAGATAAGGAATAGGGAGGAGGTAAACGGGGTTGTTGTTTGGGGAGGATAAGGAGGACTAGGGGAGGCCGGGGTAGGAGGTGGGGGAAGGGAGGGGAGGTGGGAATAGGGAGGCAGGAGGAAGAAGGGGTTAGGGAAGTGGGAAGGGCAAGGGGAGGAGGTGAGGCGAGGAGGGGTAGTGAATGAGGAGGGAGACTCAAGGAGGGAGGAGGAAGTGGGGGAGGAGTTAGGGGAGTGGGAGAACAACGAAAGGGTTGCGGGATGGAGCAGAGAAGAGGAGGGGGGAGGAGAAGAGGGGGAGGGAGAGGAGCAGGGGAGAGAGGGGAGGAGGGGGGAGGACGGAGAAAAAGCCCCCCTCCCCAGCCCCCTTCTCAGGGTTGCGCAACCCACTCGGGCTGGGATTGGTCGCTGGCGCGTAAAGACGCCACGCCCCCGACACGCGCTACGACCAATAGCGATAGGGGGCGGGGCGTAATGCGTCCTGGAAGGCCAATGGGCGGGGGGGGGCGGGACTGCGTGGCCTGGGTCTAGCTCTCGCTCCTCGCGCACTCGGAACCACCGCCGCACTCGGAGCTCCGGGCTCTCCTTCTCTCGCTGCTGTCGCCGCAGCCGCCCGCCCGCCCGCTTGCCAGCCCGCCTTCCGCGCGTCCCCGCCCCGCTCCGCTCCGATCCCTGCACCCGGCCCCAAGCACGCTCATCTGTCGCTGCGAGCACAGTATTCCCACTGAGGCCCCGCGGCGATGGCCACCAAGATCGACAAAGAGGCTTGCCGGACGGCGTACAACCTGGTGCGCGACGACAGCTCGGCCGTCATCTGGTGAGGAACTTTCCATTGCTCTCCGAGCCCCGCTGCCCGAGCTCGCAAGGGGCCTGGTGCGCTGAGCCGTCTTCCAGACGGGACGGATTAAGGGTCATCCCTGTGCGGTCTCCCCGCAGCTTTAACTCGGGACAGCGTGGAAAGCCAGAGCTGGCTTTTCGCTAGCCAGAGCATCTTTTAGATTGTTCTGTGAAAAAAAAAAAAAAAAGATTGTTCTGTGGAAGCTCGGCACCGTTCAGCCGCCAACGCTGATGTGTATGTGTGTTTTTCTCTTCTCCCAATCCAAAGGGTGACTTTTAAATATGACGGCTCCACCATCGTCCCCGGCGAGCAGGGAGCAGAATATCAGGACTTCATCCAACAGTGCACAGGTAGGGAGACGCGCCTTCTGGGGGGACTCTCGGTCTTTTGGAACATGGTCAATGCCAGGGAGGAGGCTGACGCCACCCTGGGCGCCCCCAGCGCTGGAGAAACCAGATTGGAGCGTTCTAAAGCCTCCACAAGCCTTCTCTCCTCTGGGCATCCAGAACAACCAGAGGTGGCCGCCAGCCTCCTCCCTCTCACAGTAACATTTTCAGGCGGGACAGCTCCTTTGCCCCCATGGTCTCTAGCTTTCCACCGTTAACTCAGGGGGTTCCAAACTCCAGGGTCCAGCCCTCCCGTGTTTCCCCTTTCATCGGTCAGAGCCAAAATAAAAACAATCCTGGTGCTTATTGAAGGAGAAAGAAATGGTTAGCGGCAGCCCCCTCCTTTCTCCTGCTGCAATCATCGTCCATGTGCTGGTGATGTGTTTTTGTTTGTAGAATATAGAGCAGGACATGAAAGCGTACATACCATATGATCCCATTTATGTGAAATTTTACAAAAGGCAAAGCTAATCTGTAGTGTGAAAAGTCAGAAGAGTGGTCCCACTTGTGGGTGGCTAGCCCCTGACTTGGGGAGGTGGGTGGCTAGCCCCTGACTCGGGGAGGCACACGGAAGGTGGGGTGGGGTCTCAAGGACTTGGGAATATTCTGTATTTTGATTTGGGAGGCAGTTACACAGGTGTGTACATATAAGAAATCTTTCAAGCAATATCTTTAGGATTTGTAAACTTTGTGCCTTTCCCTGGGTTGTCTTAAAACATTAAGTGGAAAAAACACATGCATGTACAACCACAACCTCCAGTCCGTGCCCCCGCCCCCCACACCACTGAACCAAAAGGCCCAGCATTACTGGTAATAGGGCCCTTTAAAGCTAAGATTGGAGGATGGGATCTTTTTCTGGGCTCTGGTCTCTAGCTTGGAAATAGATACTTTCAGACAAAGGCAATGCGGCCTGAAAGTTAGGGTGGGGACCTAGAGTCAGCAAGGTGGGTTTGAATACCCTTGTGGCCACTTTCTAGTCGTGTGGTTTGGGGCAAGTTACTTAACCTCTCGGGGCCTCGTTTTCCTCCCCTGTAATCTTAGAGGGCTGTCGAGAGGATAGGTGAGTCAGTGCTTGTACAAATGACACAGTCATTTATGAAACAAATAAGAAATACACCACTGTGCTCAAGATCGCGCAATGGCCCTTTTCCTTTATTCAAATGATTATTTTGAATTTATTCTAATTCAAAGAATATCTATAAAGTGTCTGCTGTGGGCTGGGTGGCACTGAGATTTACCACACCCCCCCACCCCCAAAAAAAAAGTCTCCCAACTAAAACATCTCCCAGAGCTACCTCCAGACCTTCACTCACTGCTTTTGGACAGGATTATTTAAAATGTTGTTGTTTAGTTCAGTCGTGTCCAACTCTTTGTGACCCCATGGACTGTAGCCTGCCAGGCTCCTCTGTCTGTGCAATTTCGCAGGCAAGAATACTGGAGTGGGTTGCCATTTCCTTCTCTAGGGGATCTTCCTGACCCAGGGATGGAACCCAAGTCTCCTGCATTGGCAGGCAGATTCTGTACCACTGAGCCATCTGAGGAACCCTTTGTTTAAAAGCAGATGTGTAAAGTATTATCACAACTCACATCTGTTGAGGTGCATGGGGCCAGGATTGAAAGCCAGGCCCCTGACTCAGGAACCCTGTCTCTCAGCCACCTCTGTCCTTTCACCACCATAATGCTTGCTTTCACAAGTGGGGTAAGTGCAGGCTCCTGGGGTTTGGTGTATAACTGGGAGGTTCAGCAGTATTTTTTGCCTTGCCGGCTCTGAGATTTTCTCTCAAGCCAGCTTCCTTCCTCTCTGGACAGTAAAGTAGCAGTTTCCTCCTGCTAGCCATCCATCATCCCCACCCCCTGCCATCAGACTGGGGTCTTCTCCTCCCACCCACCCCCCAGCTTCTGAAGCTATAGTTCTGTCCATTGAGTAGAAGGTGACCCCAGGAATAAAGAGCATCCTGTGAGTGGATTCTGAATTGGGGAGGCTGTGGTCAGAGAACACTTCCTCCCTCCCTGGGGCTTTGTGGTTTGCTAGTCCAGCCCTTCCCCCAATGATAGGGATGGCAGTGGGGAGGGCCTGGTGGGAGAACTAAAAATGCTTTCCCTGCTGCTTGTTGAGCTTATGAATGGGCCGTGGGATCTGAAGGCTCCGTCTGCTCTGGCTGGAAGTCTGCCTTCCTTCCCCAGCCATCTGTTGGACAAATGTATAGGCGAGCTATGGTTGCCGTGTCTGCTCCTGTTTGTCTTAGAAAAGCCTGTCCCATCCAGCCACCGTGTCCTCCTAACCCAGTGACCAAGGATTCGGAACGCTGACTAGTAACCTTCTACACGAAAGTCACTGCACTGGGCACACCTTGTCTCCGTTTCTGAGCTTGCTTCCCTTCCGTAGATGGGGAAATAGAGACCCAGAGAGGTTAAGTGATTTGCCTGCAAGTCACAGCAAGGTCGTGGCAGGCCTGGGCCTTGAAACCGGGCAGGGTGGCTTTGAGGCCTGTGCTCTTGGCCTCTTCTCACTAAGGAAGTGGTTTAGAGGCTCATTTCTGAGTCGTGGAGCATCTTCACTGTACAGCAGGTTCTGGTCAGGGCTGGTGGGATTGTTGGCAGTTACGGAAGGCACGTTCGCCTACTCCTGTGACGCGGGGAGGCCTCTCCATGGCCCTCATCTCTGGCCAGGTGTTCTGACAAGCTGGAGGGTCTAGTGCTCCTGGTCTGGCATAGCCTTCCTATTTCCAAACCTCTCACAAGATCACAGGGGACCTGGCAGCCTAAAAACAGTACCTGGTCGCTCCTCCGTCTGCCCTGGGGGAACGAAGTGGGTGGAGGCCTCCCGCCCCCACTGTGGGCTTTCTCTCCTCCTTGACGTCCTCACCCTGCCCCCCATCCTTGCTCTGAAATACTCTCTTTCACCCCTCCTCTGCCCTCTGGCTACTGTCTTCCTTCTGTCCTTCCCCCGGGTTCTTAGGAATGGAATCTGCCCAGTACGCCTCTGCCTGTCACCCCTCCTCTGCCCCCCAGGCTGGCCTGTCCTTGTCCCCAGGCGCTGGTTCCTGAAGGTCATGGAATGGAAGGTCGCTGGGCCGCCCTTGTCCTGTTTCTTGCTGCCAGGATCTGGAGCCCTCTGGGCCCCCGCACTGGCTCTTCTGGCGCCGGCCTCACTTGGCCCCTTCCTTCTGCACTGACCGCTCCATCACTGCCTCTGCTCTGGCTTCTTACCCCAAACTTCAGTCCATGTGGGATGGTTGCAGATCTGTCGGGGCAGTGAGAGGAGCCCAGTGCAGGTAACTTACCCACTCTCCCACCCCCGAAGAAAAGAAATCAGCCTTAGCTTCTGTGGTTGGAAAGTCCAGGTAAAGTACTAGCTGCAGATGAGGCTGTCGAACTCACGCCCCTCCCCCGGCCCTGTTTGCCTCCTTGATCAGCTGTCCTGGGAGCAGGAGGGCAGGCTCTCCCTGAGCGGTGAGGTGATAACCTCTAACCGCCCGGCTTCCAGGCTTTGGGGAGGAGGGAGAGACTGACTGCCACTGATCTCAGCGGAAGTCTCCAGACTGACAGACTCTCTTTAGTCTGACTGGGTTCATGTGCGCGTGGGAACTGATCCCTGTGGTTCTGGCTGACTGTACCTGGGTCAGTGCCCGTGCCTGGACTTGGGGGGGGGGGCAGCCCCACCAAACCAGCAGGTAGAGTTGGGGAGGGTGGGTTTCTAAGGGAAGAGTGAAAGTGAGGGCATGCTGCTTCCAGAAGAGGGGCAGACCCAGAAGAGGTCCATGGCCGCCCTTTATTGCAACAGCCTCTCAGCCCACGGTCTTTCTTGTCTTAAATTCATTCTATCCCCCTCAACTCCCCCGGATGGGAGTGAAAGTGAAAGTGAAGTCGCTCAGTCACATCTGAGTTTTTGCAACCCCATGGACTGGAGCCTACCAGGCTCCTCTGTCCATGGGACTTTCCAGGCAAGGGTACTGGAGTGGGTTGCCTTTTCCTTCTCCAGGGGATCTTCCCAACCCAGGGACTGAACCTGTGTCTTTTGAATGGGCAGGTAGACTCTTTTACCACTGAGCCACCAGGGAAGCCTGCAAAGTAGCTCTTCCTAAAGCGTGGGTCTCCTCAGGCTCCTCCTCTGCTCATTAACCGTCTATAGCTCCCACCTGCCCACTAAGTACAGGCTATCTCCTCGGCCTTCCAGTCTGTTTGTCCCCACCCACATCTCCTGTGCAATAGCTCCCACACCCTCCTTTGTGCACCTGCAGCCTGACCCTGTGTAACTCTCTCAGCCTGCAGGCCAGTGATTCCCTCTAGGTGGAATTCCTCTCCCCTGTATCTGTCCATCTGAGACTGAGCCAGCAAACCCGCCTAGTGCAATCCCTTCTGCATTTCAACAGCCAGGACCTTTGGAATCAGAGAAATTATAAATTTGCATCCCAACTCTGCCCCCTGCCATGTGACCTCAGGCATTTCTTTACCTGTGCCTCAGTTTTCTGGGGGTTCTGATGGCGCCCGCCTCTCATGCTGACTGAGAAGGTTCGCTGAAGTTGTATGTCTAAATGGAGAGTCCAGACATGGTGATGCTGTTGGCTGTTGTCACTGTTACTTTTTTTTTTAAACTCTCCTAGCGTCATATTGGTTGTTGTTACTATTACTTTTTGTATCATTATTTCTATTCTCCTAGTGTTTAGGATGACAGTGTGCTTGCTGCTCTGAAGTTTCTTGTGCATGCCCTAGCTCAGCACACAGTAAGCACTCAACTCTGAGTTCACTTAGTAGAGGTGCTCAACCCCAGACTGGCATGCAGTAGGCGCCATGTGGGCATGCTTGAGACCTTTGGCTCAGGTCTGCATGCAGTAGGTGGTCAGTATAGGGTAAGAGGTAGTTAGCACAGTGGTTAAAGGTCTAGGCTGCTTTGGATGGTCTGGGTTCAAATGCTTGCCAATCATGTGACCTGAATTATTCACCTGCTCATCATTTTGCTATAA